AAACGTTCCTTTATACAGGTCACCTTGTGGCTTTGTTCAAGATGCTTGTATTTCCTTTCCTGCTCCAATCCAGATCATTAGAAATTTCCTCCTTTGGTCACAGTGGGAAGCAACCCCCCCCAAGCTGAAACAGGGGACATGTTTGGAACTGAATGCAAACAAGCCACTTTTTCCATTTGATGGGCAGTTTTTGACTGTGAAGTATGAAGTGTAGGAATGAACGTAGCCAAGATCAGCGGAACAAGCTTATATCTGGGCTAAAACAACCTTGCAACCTTGATTTTGTCCTTGTTCTAAGGTGGCTCTGCTTGTCTTCTCTTCCCTGCCATTAATCACTCTTTGAGATGAACGGAAATCAGGAAGAGACTGCAACTCTGGGTTGGAGGAGCTGTTTGCATGATAACAAAATTTATATTGTGCAGTTAGGTTGGATGGTGGGAGTTGTAAAAAGTTTTTTAAAAAAGAAAACTTCGGAGACCTTTTGTCCAAATCCTGGGAGAAATGGGGGAAAATGCAGCCAGCTATGGCTTGATTTAGCCAGCTTTGTGGAATGTACCAATAATCACTGAGTTTAAGCATGACGCTAAGCCATAAACCATGGTTTATGAACCACAGTGATTGGGGTCTCACGACACACTAAACCCAAACCAAGCCATGCACATGAGGACTCGTTTGTTTGTTTATGAACTTTATAAGCCACCACAATCTGTCCCAACTCCAGGCAGCTTACAAAATGCAACGATAAAATATGTACCCTACAGGAATCATCAGACATCTGGGAAAAAACAATCATTTAAAACAGAACATCAGACAAGGGGACCATCATCCACCCTAACCCTTGGCCTGGGTCTTAAGAGTTTGTTTAAATAGGGCCCGAGTGAGGGCCGGGCGAATCTCAGAGGGAATGATGGTCCAGAAGGCAGGTGCCATGACAGAGAAGACACATTTTCTGACTCCCACCAGTGACTTAGAACAATGCAGGGACTTTCAGTTGCAATGTTGCAATCAGCAAGGGGCGCATCACATCATGATTTGAAAGTTATAGCTGCTGTGAATCCAGGCTTCTCACAAAGCCATTCTCAAGCTGGCATTTTCTAGATCAGTGTTTTTCAGACTTGGCCGCTTTAAGATGTGTGGACTTCAACTCCCCGAATTCCCCAACCAACAGGCCGGCCGGGGGAAATCTGGGGGTTTAAGTCCCCCCCACCTAAAACCGCCCCGTCCGAAAAAAGCTCCCATAGCA